CCACCCTCATGTCAGTTAGAGCTTGTGTTCCTCTTTGCATTTCATATTTTAGGGTTTCCCTGGCAGATGACAGTTGTAAGTAGCCGTATTAGATAACCCTCAGGGTGCCCTTAGCCTTGATTTGAGCACAATTAATTTTCTATTATAGAGTGCTAAAGATGTTCAGCACTGCTCTGGCTCACCTACAATATTGAGTAGACACAGCCAATTGTGGACTTGGTCAGGCCTTGTAGTGGGGTTTGGAGCTTCCCTCAGGGATCTCATTTATTATTTGCAGATATTGATTTGACAGAAAGGGCAAGGCAAACTACTCTGGTGTTGACTTAGATCTAGCCCCTGGCTGTTAACATGCTCTCAGCTGACCAGTGCTGTGAATGTGATGTTTGCGGTTTGATCCACGGCTCTTACGGCGCGAATATTTTCAACTGTTAAATTGTGGGAGTCTCTCATATAGAGTTTCTTGAGAGGAGGAAGGAAGGATGGTGATTGTGGAGCATGAGCATGCTTCGGTCTTTCTGTGGAGGCTGGTGTTAATGAAAAGAAAAACAAATAAAAGTGCAGACACAGCATCTATCATGTTGTTTGATTAGTGAGTAAATGGGGATGGGGCAGGTTGAGGTCAGGGCAACAGACTTGAGGTAATCTCTCTGTTGCCTGTATTGCTCCTTCCTTAGTGGGAGATGTCTGGGTGGGATGCTGCTTTGGAGTCATTCTGTGATAGAATTCTATAATAGAAGCCTTTTCCAGTTGGAGTAAATTTCTACAATTTTATGTTTGTTAGTAGGTGAGGTGACTATATTGTATTGTAAATATTGTGTACAAACAAACTGATAATCGAAAACTGAAGAGATTTGTGTTATCTATCTGTCGTTCTATCATTGACAACAATCAACAGATAAACATTCTAGCTATTGTTCTGTCTAGTGATCTTTCTATCGATTGTTCTGTCGATTTATCATTTGATCTATCAAATCTATCTATAGTATTTATTGTTCCATCCATCCATCCATCCACCCACCCACCCATCATTCTGTCTACAATATCTATCTGTCTGTCGTTCTATCGTTCTGTCTATTGATCGTTCATTTATCGATTTATCAATCTATCATTCTATGTATCATTCTATCTATCGATCATTCTATCTATTGATCGTTCTGTCTACAATATCTATCTATCTATCTATCTATCTATCTATCTATCTATCTAACATTCTATCTATCTATCTATCTGTCTATCGTTCTGTCGTTCAAACACTATCTATCTATCTATCTTATCTATCTATCTATCTATCTATCTATCTATCTATCTATCTATCATATTTAAAGGCACTCACAATTCAATTCTGTCAATCATGTATCCTGGAGCATGTCCTGCTTTGACAAATCATGTTAATGCTTTTCATTCATTCTATTGTTCTGTCTGTTGTTCTATCATTTTATCTATTGATCTGTCTGTCTATCTATCTTTCTGTCTATCGTTCTATCTATGGCTCATTGTATCTATTGATCCTATTTATCGATCATTCTATCTACAGTGTTCTGTACTGATCATCCATTCATCCATAGTATTTGTCATTCTATCTATTGTTGTATCATTCTGGTTTATAATACTTTTTTTGAAAAGTCTTGAAGACTTTTTAAATAGTCTTTAATATTTTGATTCTTATAATCATTTCCCCTGTTTAGAGCAGAAGGAGAAAGTGAACATCCAAACGTTGTGTGTGTTTGTGACTGTATAGGGGCAGCCAGTGTGCTTCTCGAACTCATGAATCCTTAGCCCCGAGTTCTGGGACCAATAAGCACCTTCCAACAGGCCCGCTCTGAGCCTTGGCTCAACCACAGCTTCTGTTAGAGCAATCCGACCCTAATTGGCATTTAATGTGATGTCTGGGCCTGGGGTGGAGGAGCGCTGGAGGAAGGAGAGTACCCAAACAAGCGCTCAGGTTGAAACATTCATGATCCATGACATTCAGGACCCAGAATGGCACTTGAGGTCTCAGAGTTGAATGAGACTCTGGTGTAAAAAAAGTAACTGTAGATTGTGTGGCTATTGCAACAAATTATATAGGATGTTAAGGCTTGTTTTTTTTTTCTGGATAGAATTTGCAAAAGGACTTTACTTCTGTATTATTTTATTTTCACCATGATCTTAACCAGTAAAGAACTTCGTTCTATGAAATGAATGGAAACAATTTTCCCATCCAACACAGATGGAGAACTCCCACTAATTTGGTGCACATGTCATTTTTCCTTCATTCTTCCCTCCATTCACTTCATTTTACTGTCAGACTTACACTGTAAAATCTAATTAGTTGGGCTTACTTAAAAAAAGCATGCAAACCGATTGCCTTGAAAAAACTAAGTAAAGTGAAATAGGAATAGTATGTTGTACTGACAAATGCTTAGTTAGTATAGCTTACTTGCACGAGAGTTCTAGTAACTAAAAAAGAACTGTAGGGGGTACTTGATCCTTTCATTAAGGTTTACTCATGACTTAGTATAGCTACTCACTGACTCCCAGAGTGCATTGCGGCATGAATAAATTATACAGTTGCTTTGTTTTACAGTTGTTGATTTTATTTGACAATTTTATTTGCTGTCTTGTGTCAGTAGTAGCACATCAAAAAGAGCAAATAAAATGGTTATTGTTACAATTAATGAAAATACATGAACTTGAATTGTTACCATTGTTGTGATTCACGTGCTGAATGTTTAAGTCTGTGTGTGACTTTCGCATATTACCACACACGATTTAAGGATTATATAAACCCAATTAAAATCATCTTGAGGTATTTATGAAAAATGAAATTCAAAAAAGTTCATTAATAAACAAACACACACACAAAAATTCACTAATACTTTCATTCTGACAGAAGATCACCTTCTAAAAGTAACGTATTTATTACATTTCTTCCCGTGAAATCACATAACTGACTTCATGATGCACTGCTACATTAACAGAAAGAAAATGATAGCAACATAAACTAAGTTCCAAGTGCCCAACCAAAGGGAACGCTAAATACTATAATGGTGAATTAAAAACAAACACATTTTAGGAAAATCAACATCAATTTATGAAGTTAGCTTATGTGATGTTCTCTCAAATATTTCAGTTGTATTGAAAATTCAACATTCAAGATGACTTTGGGAAACGAGTTAATGCAACTAGTGAAAGATAACTGCAGACATGGAGGAAATGGGTGAAAAGTTTATTAAGACTCTTTTTCTTTTCTTCTTCTTCTGTTGTTATGTTGCTCATTAGCAACATATTAGTGCACTGCTGCCTCTCACTGCTTTATTAATGTCATTGGTTCCTTTGTGGCTACTTGAATATTTTAAGTAAGTGTCACTCAAAACAGTAAGTAAATTGTTTTATTTGCCTTGAAAGTAGCTGTAACTTAATAAAACCTAGTAAGTATAACAACTAAGTAAAGATAACTAA